ATTAGGTGTGTCCCGCGCGCTCATATGACCTTATGCAGTTGCGAGCGCCGTAAAACCCTATACTAAACAAACAAACAAACCATTCAAACAGACGGTCGAGCTCCTCTGTCCATTCGAGGCGTTTTCCCGGCTTCAGGGCTTCCCGGAACTTTCTCACTATCTACTTGATCACATGCGCACGCTTACACATCGTTACGAAATGAACACATACAAATACATTTAAAAATAATATACACAATGCAATTCTCAAAAATACATAAATGGATATGTAGTCATTTACATTACAACATTGTAATTTAAATGTTTCTTTAAAGATATCTTAAATTTAGATTCAGATGTTGTATGTCTCAAGGGTTAGGGAAAAAAGTTTCAAACTGATGGAGCCAGGTGGGCAAATGATCTCTCAGCTAATTTTTTACTCCTTTTCTGGAGACTCTTAAAAGATACTGATCATCTGATCTTAGTGATCTAGGTGGAACACAATGACAAATATTCAATACCTTTAAAGCATGCATCAGAATACCATTGAGTTACAGTCAGAATACTGAGCATGTATCTAGCTTAACATTATTATTGTTTATATTACTGTTCATTTATATTATGCATGTGACTGAGCCTGTTTGTGAGTGCAAGCATACTGTATAACTATGGTTATGTGCACAGATGTGTGTTGAAGAAAAGATGTGTGTAGAAGAGAGGATGTGTTAGGGAAAAGTATGTGTGTGTGTTATAATATATAGGTGAATTAGGTGTGCACATGTGCGTGCGTATGCGTGTTTGTGCATGTTTGTGTGTGTGTGCGCATTTGTGTGTACGTGGTGAAACACCAAACCAGTGTGCCTGGATCTGGACAATAAATAATAATAATAATAAATAGCATTTATACTGCGCATTTCCATTTCCTAAAAGATGCTCAATGCGCATTACAATGAAAAAGACATCACATCTTAAAAATTAATCGACACAAATGTGTACGTAAAACAAAGTATTATACATATAATATAAATGCATATGTGTAAAATTTTATACCAGAAAAACAGTCTCGCAGTGAGGTTGAAAATGTGTTCACTAAAAATATACAATGCAATAACAATTCACGAACAGTCAAAATAAAGTTGAAACGTGAGTAACTAGAAACATTCATTAAAACATTAATTCTATACAGATAGAAAAACATTTCCGTTCTCTCTCTCTCTCTCTCTCTCTCTCTCTCTCTCTCTCTCTCTCTCTCTCTGTCTCTTTCTCTCTCTCTCTCTCTCCCTCTCTTTCTCTCTCCCTCTCCCTCTATCTCTCTCTCTCTTTCTCTCTCCCTCTCTCGCTATCTCTCTCTCTTTTCTCTCTCTTTTCTCTCTCTATCTCTCTCTTTTTCTCTCTCTCATTCTCACTCGCTATTTCTTCAGTCTCACAGTCTGGCATACACATGCATATATATCACAGTACATCATTAAAGATGTATCTTATCTCATCTTTGTCTTATCTTTCAGTCTGAATTTCAAAAGTTTGGATGCATAGCCCTTTTGATGTAAATTTAATATTTTTGTCTGGTCAGTTGAGATAGATTTACCTTATAAATGTCGTCCTGACTATTTAGAAGGAAAGTGCTGGTTTTTTTAAGTTTATGTGAAAGCAACAGTGACTGAGGGCTTTTTTTTTTTACCCTTTTCATGCAAGATAGAAATTCCATAAATATCAATAACTTTCTCCTGCACTTGATGTCATCTGATTTTTTTGTCTTTTAATTTTGAAGGTCTTAAGTTTGAAAAGAGTTGTTCTTGAACCAGGTATTAATTGCCTCCTTTATGTCCCTGTCTCCCCAGAGTTTGCAAGAGATGGCGACGTATTGTGTCGGACAACTCACTGTGGCGCCATGTAGATCTACTGCAATACCGGTTGGACTTGCCAAGAATGTGGAAAGTGCTTAGGGCCCACTTTTCCCCATGTTTGCTTACCATGAAAGTGAAAGGCTTTGCTCATGCAGGTAACTTTTTATTTCTGAACACCTCTCCAGCCTATCCAAGGGAGCATGGAAGTTTATCTTTTGGCTTGAATGTATTCTTTTTCCTGGTGAAATTCTATTATTACCACGTCTTAAAAAACAGGAAGCCCTTCCTTCCTTTAGCAGCAGGGTCACATGAAAATGCATGTCTAAGTATGCCCGTGAGTAGGTGTATGCGCAGTGAATTGTGAAATACTTAAGTCAGTACTCACGCACTCAGCAAAGATTTATATATTATTTGCTGATGATGCGTAAACTAATTTTACCAATTAATCAATAATAATAGTAATACAAAAGAAGAAAATGAAATATTGTTATAAAAGTAAAAATGACAAACAAAAATATTAAAATTACTGAGATGATTTGAATAGGACACAAAGAAAAAGAAATGCGAAGCAGCAACAATAAAAAACAATGGCAGTTGCAAAATTTTTTGTTTATGCCAAAAGCTGTGGAAAAATGTTAGTCGTACTTGAGTATTTACTTATGTAATTACCCAAATACTCTGGGATTTTGGATACAGGGGGGTACTCAAACATTTAAAAATTATTCTAGTGAGTACTCGCAGGGACAATATACAGTCAAACCTGCCCTGACGGAAGACGGCCACCTGCACAAACGGCCACTTTCCATTTCCCCCCCCTTGCGTTTTTTAAATATAATTTAACTGTGTAAAACGGGAACCTGTCCAACGCGGCCGCGGACACCATATTTTAACACACAACCCCTATCACATTAAGCAAAAATACCTGTCTTAGACGGCCACCTTAGTGACTCCATTACTTT